GAGTAAAAAGTGTTAAAGGAGTTAAAGGAACTTGGCAGACCGAACGCAATGTTTCAAACTCGAGAGAATAGAGGACTTCTATACACGAGATGCTAAATGCCACTGGTGGCTCCATATAATGCGCATGCTCGCTAAATTGTCATAAGAATGATGTAAATATACGCGGCAAAGTTTAAAAACATGTAAAAGGAATCTTTTTACGTATTTCAATAATTGTCAGATACAAAAATGAAGGGACTTTTAAAAACTGTTAATACAGTAAGTAAGGATATTAAAAATAGGTGTTTAAATAGTTTTTTAATGTATTTAAATAATGGAGGGCGTTTTAAAAATTATGAATGCAGTAAATAGAATATTCAAAATAAGTGATTAAAAAGTTTTTAATATAAATAACTGGTATTTCGAATTTTTTCTTAATAAAACGAATAATGTGATTTTAATTTAATATTTTTACAGATAAACTTAATGTTTCTTTCATATTTGTAGTAGATAAGCCAGATTTGTGGTTATCCGACAAGGCCAATAATGATCATAACGTTTTGTTTAGGAAAATAAATAAAACACAAAAATATGGTGTACCTTATGTACCTATATTTTTAAGAAGTTTATAATCTTAGCTAGCCGAAGTGTTCGCGAAACATTGGCGTAGAAAATTATTTTATAGATGCTAATAAAAAACATTTAAAAACAAATGTCCGATTTTGAGATTATATCAATGAAGTGGAGAGGGGTAGAATGATAACTGTCAATGAAAAAATCTAGACACTATGCACAATTTCATTTTGCCCATTTTGTAAACAAAATTCAGGGACGGTTTAACAACATTTTGTGCAACAATTATAAAATAGTGCATCGAAAAATAATTAACAAGTATAATTTAATACTAAATCAGAATAAAAAATCATAAATATAAGCAAGATAACAAAGAATTGACGCCAAAAAATCTTACAACAGCCAAAACACAAACAAAAAACAGAGCTGAACATGAACATAATCGCTGAATCTTGTTTGTATTTGTCAGTTTTACAAAGCTTTTCTCAGACAATTATTCCAGTGTTTAATTTAAATTTGTTCGTGTTGTGGTGTTAAAAGTAATTGTTATTAATATTATATTCATAACAAAAAGTCATATCTTGTTTTCACTTCATTAAAAATGCACCTACCTACCTTTTAAAACATTTTATTTTATATTCTACTGGTCAACATTTTCGCATTTAAAATGACCCAGCGAAATTGTTTTACGGTACGCTACTGCTGAGAATTCTAAAACGAGTGAGAAAGCATTCATTAGAAAGAGAGATACTGATTATTTGATAGCGACATTAATATTGTATAACTTTATGCAGTGGTTGCCTATCTGCTATTATATCATCTAAGCGCTGAATAAAGTCGATCCTGGAATTTGTTTACAGTGCTTTAGGGCAACCTCTCCTTGTCATTTACGTGTGTAAGAATGGAAGGCTGAATCACGCATAATTTCTACACTCGTGATGGATGCGCAGACGGTACCTTATCGTTCTACCCTCTCTACTTCTTTGGATTATATCTAAATTCTAAATTTCTCATGAATATATTGGATGGAAGATGGCCATAATTCGTGAAATGCAATACTGGTGCCATCTATCAACAGATAGTCACACTATCGAGTTGCACATATTACTTGTAGAGGCTGAAACTTGATTTTAATTAACGCACTTTTCTCTCACGCTCATGGAGAAACGATTATTACTCACGTTTAGGCCTCGCAACGAAATGGAGACAGGCGTAACAAAAAAGCTACAAAAAAGTTACAAAAATGAGCCTGGTCCGAGCTGGTGCCGCTAAAAATATCCGCTAAGCTAGCGGATCCGCGCTTTTCTCAGGTTCAGTACAAGCTACAAAAGGGAGACTAGCGTAACAAAAAAGCTACAAAAAAGTTACGAAAAACCAGCTGGGTCTGAATCTGTGCCGCTACTATGGAATTTATGGAAATTCAAGCTAGCGGATCCGCGGTTTTTTCGGACCTGGGCAAAGCTACAAATTCGCAAATAGCGTAACAAAAAAGCTACAAAAAACCCACCAGGTCTTGTATGGTGCCGCCACAGAGTGCCCGCTAGCTTGATAGAGCCGTAAATAATTTAATAAATTGTAGATACCGGTTGAAATTTTATAGAATTATGATTTGGGACATTATTACTGGTTTAAATAACTATTTATAGCCCATAAATAGATACGTTTGCCCGATTCCGCCGGTAATAATTTAAAATGTTTGGTATTATTTTTTGTCTATGAGACGACTATGGCGAACAAACATTACCAGGAGGTTCTCGAAGTCGTCCGACGGGATTTGACATTTACCACCTCGCTACCTACCACTAATGGTGAGTTCGGTCTACGCACTCTTTTCACTATATTCACTCCTAAAGTACCTAAGGCGTTCGGGTACGGAAGGAGTTAAAATAAAAGTTCCTCTTTGACCGTTCCAGAGACAACAGAGACGTGTAACTTAATAGGAAAATATGTTCGGTGGTCCATTTAAATTACATATATGACCCTCTTTTTCTTTTACATTGATCTTTACATATGTCTATCTCTCTCCAATAAAACTAACACCATTTTCAGAGGGCGCTGGTGTTGCTGGTTTTTTGACGTCAAAATATCGATTAAAACTGACAACTGACAATGTTATGAATGTTGTTATGAACATGTTCATTTTATTAAAATTAATTTAATTTGGGCCCCGTATATTTCTTTGAGTCTGATTTTGTTGTTTAATTAATTTTCTTTGGGGGGGAATGTTTATTTTTGCATATTATTTTTTGCATGAAGCAATTTCTGGAACCAAACTCGCGTTTTTGTACACATTTCTTTCTAGAGGTAAGTAATTTCCAATTTATTAAGAAAACCACTGTATAATGTGTGTGTTTAATAATATATTACACAATGACTATAATTATTTTAGGTGAATTGGAACAGAGATCCATTGTTACAGCTACTTGTGTTCATTAAGTAGGTAGATGAATGTCTGGACAGCTTTAATGGCAGCACAAAGTTCCTATCTATTAGAAAAGTAAAATGTATGCTGAGTAAAAAATCTGCACATGTAGTATTGGCAAAGGACTTTTGAAATGATTAGAGATTGGCTATTTCTTACATACACCTACCTCTAATAGCCACTCTAAAGGAAGAAAAAAAATTGAATCACAAAAGGGCAGAATTTTAAATCAGGATGCATTGGAAAATAAATTTGGGGACATCAGGTCGGTTTTGGATTTTAGAGAGAGATCAATCTCAAGAAAAGTTTAATTAATCCTGCAGAACAACCAGTAGTTTAAGTAGGATTTGCTATAATTTTATTAGAAGATTTCCTTGATAATAAATTGTAATATACCAATTGTTTCAAATGAAATTGAAAAAGAGAAATTAGATTTTTCATGGGTAAAATGTTATATTCATTCAAACATTGTAAGGTAATCTGTAATAAAGGGAATGTGGAAAATAGGTATACCCTGGTGGTGTAAGAGACAGGTAAGGGGCAGTGACAAAAAAATTACAAAAATGTATTCATCTTTAAATAGTGTTTATTATTATTATTATTATTATTTGCTATGTTTGAAAAGTACCTCCTGCTGCAGAACAGATCGAATAGATTAGACTACTAATTAAAAAAGGTCCACCTAGTAACCAAATTAGGAGACTAGGAAAACTTTTACATGACTGCGGACACAACAGGAATGCACACGTACAAGATACACAAACAAACGAAATAACAGGGGTAAGCCTTCAGCAATGTCCTGTTTAAATGATGATAGTATGTCATCCTTCATTCCCTTTTAGAAGGCATGGCAACTTACATGTGTGTTTGTTTCGTTTCCATGGTTTCTATTAAAATAAACAGTCATAACATATCCATACCTTTTTGCCAGACTAATGTAAGCGACATTTGTTCAAATGGCACTTATGATAGTCTGGCAAAAAGGTATCGATATACTCTATACTTTATAAAATATTTGTTACATTAGTTTTTAAATATATAACAACTGTTACTTTCTTTGTAATTTGTCACAAAATGATAGGAGGTACTTTCTAAATGAAGCAATTGTAGTTTGTTTTTCTGTACCTTACAAAAATATAATTTATAGAAAAAGAGTTTGGTGTATTATTTTTCCAAGTTTAAATATTTAATAATCAATAGAATTTTCAAGTTTTTTTTAGCGAAATTTACAAGAGTAATAAAAACTATGTTCACTGCTTATATTAAACTGATTAAAACTTCCTTTATTAAAATGATTATTTAAATGATAAAAAAAATTTATGTTATTGGAAGCTTTAATATTTTTTAATATACAGTGAAACAATAGTTTTTGTTTCTCCTGTAAATTTGTATAGAAAAACTATTTATTTCTGAATCCATGTTTGAATTTCCCGCCCTAAAGCATTTTAAATTTTCCCGCTATTTACTAGTGGCGCCATCATAGATTGGTTGTGGTTACAATCGCCCAAATAACTTTTACCGAACAAAAAAAATACATTGAGTTACACGTCTCGCTGGATTGTCTCTGACCGTTCGGAGATGGTGGAGTGGAGTGTGGATCGGGCATGCGCATAAGGTGATTTAAATTGATAATAAGTTAATTGTGAGTGATTCTTTAGTAAATAATTTTTTTTTTTGGTTCCCGTGAATATCATTAATATGGAAGAAACTTATACGGTCGTTACTGACAAGTACGATTAAATTTTAAGTGCTGATATGTCACATTGACAATTGACATTGCACTCCGAGAGTTAAAGGAGTAAAATCATATTCGCACTCCGTTTACGCCTAATTACTACACTCCACTCTGGAGTGCTCAGCCCGAACTCACCTATATTATGGCTTAAATAGGAGGGAAATTTAAAAACAACTAATTTTGATCATTGTATAAATAATTAAACTGTAAACATTTTATTTATAATAGGCTATTCTAGTATTTTTGATATAAATAAAAATTAGTAAGTAGGTATACTAAAACACGACTTACCAGGAGAAAAACATTTCCACCCTTTGAATTCTGCCATGTTGCATAATGGAACATTCAAATTGCTTTTCACTTTTCACTAAATACGTGTTTTAAATTCTATTTTATTCTACGTTTAAAATAAGTGCACTAAAGTCATGGCCTTCTAAGAAACGTTCGATTTGTTTTCTTCGAGTTTGTGTTCGATATTACGATTTATTATAAACAACAAATATAATTTCTAATAAGTGTTAACATAAATCAATTTTACCGAGATGGATCACTGCGGAAAACTACTTAATTATCTATGTAAAAGTAAAATTTACCAAGGCTTCTTTGATCACAAAACATGTCGGCTAACTTATTGAAACTATTGAAAGTGTAAAATAACTAAAAAAAGACAAAAGATGATTGAAAATGTGTCTTGTTTAGTCATGTGATTGCTAATAACCAATAAATTTCCAAATTAAATGCAAATTTCCCTCCTAGCGTTTGACATCCAATAATGTTGCATTTTATAAATTCTGTTTCTATTTTTAAAAAGAGAAGTCCAAATCGTATCTTTATTCAATTCATAGATCTATGAGCTTAGGGAGGGAAGTGATTTATTTTAAATTCTAATGTCTTTAAACGAAGATGGTGGTGTGTTGTAAGAATGTGGTCGTTGTACATTTGAGGTTTTTAATAACTTATTGGGCGACTGTTTCAGATTTCAAATAGTAAAATAAAATAGTTGATTTAATTTGGGAAGACAGCAGCAAACGACCGAAAACGGTTTCTTGTAATGTAATTAAATGAAACACATTTGGGACAGCGCGACCGATGAAAGAGACGCGACAGCACTTTTAACACGACAGTATTTGCTGCTGTTGTCTGTCGCCTTCCTCGGTCTCGCGTTCCCAAATGGTAACTTTAGAAGTTTCATTAATACTTACCTATCTATGGCTAAATGAATGCATTTTAGTTCGCTTTTCTCAGTTTATTGGGTTTTAATTTGGTGTGAATACGTGATTTTAGTTGTTTTGTTAATTTGTGATTGCGTTTTGGTTTCTTTATTACGTTAAAAGGGATAATGGTTTACTGTGCAGTGACTGCCAGGTTGTAGAGGTACCAGTAACAATAATAAAACGGCAAAATCCTATTCGTCTGGCTGCCGATACTTTACTTTTCTAACTGCTAGGGAGACTCAAAATTTATGGGTGGAAAAATACTATGAAAAACATAATTTTAATAGTAAAAATGCGAGAATATATTCGAAGCGTTTTTTAAATAAAGGCATTAAAGAAAAAATATTGGAATTGCCGAAGAATAAGTGAAAACTGAAAAATAATACTGTATATTACTTAACTTGCCCAAAACTCAAAATCACTAAAATTAAAAAAAAAAAACTTCCTTAATTTTTTTAATAATTTAGCAAAAAAATGTGGATATACCAAATGAGGATACTAAGTCTTAAAAAAAAACTCCAAATTGAAAAGCGTAAAATGTCATAATAATCATAAGTACAATATGAAAAACCTTTGCTTATATGTTTAAAAAACAAATTATAACACTATTTTCCAAAATGAATTGCAAAAACATATTTAATCATAATTTCTTTAGCTATTTTGTACTGTGCAATTAAAATTATTACAAAGGTCTAAACTAATTTATTATAATAGTGATTATAAATGATTTGTTTATAAATGAGAAGATTTTTAAACACACAAAAATATTTTACAATGTAAATAAATTAAAACCGAATAATGTATACCGAAATTTGTTTTTTTTTTCTATTAAATGAATTCTATTGTGTACATTGACTTATTTTTATTTTACTTATTTAAATAATATAAAACAGTCATAACGAATATTTCAGCCATTTTCAAGGGAAACTTATTTATTTATTCACCGGCATTGCCCACACTTTCAGTACAGTACAACTCAAATATAGGGTAAATCTAAATAATATGACAAAAATGATAAACTAATAAATTAACAACAAAAATCATAAATATATTAACATGTACAAAATTGAAACAACTAATATTAAAACTAGGGAATTTAAGTCACAGTAAGTTTTAACACCCTCACAAAATTAGAAAAGCCTCAATTAAAAAATCTAGACTATTAGCACAAGCATTAGCGCTTCGTGAAACTTTAGGCATGAATAAATTGAGGCCAGTATTAGTTCTCATGTAGGGCTGATGAAAACTGTTTATTGATCTCGTGCTTCTAGTTGGGGCTGCCAACAACATGCATGCTTGAAATCAATGTAGGGCAGTCAACCATATAATTATTGAGCTTAAAAAATAATTTCAGATCTGCCTGATCTCTTCTTATTCTGAAAGTTGGCAAGGAGAATGTTTCTTGCAATGCCGCAAAATCATAGGAATAGTCATCTATACTTGGAATATCTGATTTAAATGCTAAGTAGCGAAGAAATTTTCTGTGAACCTGTTCTAATCTATGAATATGACAAGTATACTGGGGTTCCAAACTGAAGAGCAATATTATAGCAGAGGCCTGATAGTATTAATACTTGTAAAGTCTGATATGTTTCTCTTTATAAACCCAAGCATACCAAGTGTTCTGGGTACTATTGTGTCAATGTGATTGACAAATGAGAGCGTAGAGTCCATAATAATACCCAGATCTCGAATGGATGCAACTTGGGACACTGGTGTACCCTTGATATTATATTGATAATCAATCCAATTGATCTTCCTAGTAATGGATATCGAGTTACACTTGGTGATGTTTAGGTCCATAGCATTATTCGCACACCACTCATTAAGCCTAGCCAGATCAGACTGAAGTTTGAGACAATCCTTAAGAGATGAAACTGCTAGGTAGCCCTTTAGGTCATCAGCAAAGCATAAAAATGTCTGAGATATCATTTATAACTAATAAAAATAACAAAGGTCCCAAATGGGACCCTTGGGGGTCTCCAGATGGATTGGAAATGTTTTTAGATCTGTAATTATTCAATTTAACAGTTTGGAATCTTTCAGATAAATACCTCGCCAGCCATTGCAATATGTTAACATGATCCCAGCAGTCTCCGCAGTTTATTTAACAAAAGTTTGTGATTGACCCTGTCGAACGCCTTGGAAAAGTCTGTGTATATGGCATGCACCTCACCACCTCCATCCAAGTCGTCCGACAGATAGTTAACAAAAGTAAGTAAATTTAGTTCTGGAGATTTTTTGTTAAGAAACCCAAATTGTTCTTCTATTATTGATAAACTTAATTTAGATGTCAAGTAATCAACTACTAACTTTTCAAACAACTTTGGAATATTCCAAAGTTGTTTGATAAGATAAGATAATATACCAAGACCTTGATAATAGTCAGCTATTTTTGTAGAATCTAAATCTCGAGAATATTTTAATATCAATTTCATGAGACAGAATTTTTGGCATTAATCAATTGATTAATGCCAAAATTATGTAGAATCAAATTGTAAAATGTTCGAGAAATTTAGTAACAACAAAAATAGCAGAATATTAATCAAGGTCGTGTTATATTTGGGACGACTATTTCACTAGACCAAATCGACTATTTCTCTAGGGAAATAGTCGCTGATAGTTGGTCTAGGGAGATAGTCAAACAAAAATACCATGAAATCTATAGCGTCCCTGTATATCACCAACTTTTGTCACGCGATGACATTATGGGAGATAGTCAAACAAAAATACCATGAAATCTATAGCATTCCTGTATATCACCAACTTTTGTCACGCGATGACGTTATGCGATATTACAGAGAAATTAGTTTTTCTTTATCATTACCTAGAGAATCAACAAGACTGGACCGAACTCAGAAATTTCTATATTTGAATATTCTTAATTCCTAAATTAATAATTTTATCACTATTTAACTTCAGAACAGTGCTTTTAATACACTACCTACCCTATAAATACAATAGTGTATAGGTAGGTTCTATAATTCCTATTTTAGATGTCACATTAGGGTTGTGTTTGGTATTTAAGAAAAAATATTTTGAAAGATTTTATAGCTCTTAATAGAACATTATTTATTTGAATTAATTTGCATCACCAAAAAATTATGTAGAAAAAAAAGTGTCTTATTCAAATTATTGTTAAATAGGTAGCTACTTGCAAAGGATGAAATCCAAAATCTTCTTGAAATTTCCGAAATTATTACCGAAAATATTTCTTCACTCAAAATTATAAATGCAGCAGCTTATTGTGGTTCAAAAGACAAGAGAAAAGTTTAAAAATGGTTTACCCCTCAGATACTTGTTAACCCTGTATTAATTGTAAAAGATGGTTTTACTTTTTTGTGTATTGGAAGGAATTTATTGAGATGAGCAATTTTTCAGATAATTATTGGGAAAAATGCCACTTTGTTAAACTGTTGGAAATGGAAGAATGAATTCTTGTGCACATTTTAATAACTTTATGGTATATTATCTAGTCTAGATGTTCCATAGAAATCGCATTTTTTTGTCCCATTTTATTTTGAAAAAATAAAGGTACTATTTTTGGAAATTACTCAGTGCAATAGCTTCGTTCTTGGTAACAACCCTGAACTGATTCTGAACACTAAGGTAAACATCAACACTGCATATTTTAACTGGATTTGTATTGTTAAAATTTGTATGTAGGCATGTATGCTTTACCCTAGCGTTCAGAATGTTTGGGATCGCTCCACGAATGTAGCTAATAAATTACGATAAGACTGATACGTTATTAGGAAGGAACCAAGGAGAGGTTTATAATTTTATTCTGACTGGGATTCTCATTGACCTGTTGCTAGATTTAAGAGTAAATTTTTTATGTGTAATAATACTTGTTTCCGTTTCATGTGTTGACATGCTATACACTCTGTATTTTTATAGTGAAATTTTAATAAAATTGTCAAACTCAAATGGAATGCTTTGAATTTTACAAAAACTTCTGGGTTATTCCAGTACATAAAATCGATAAAAAAAAATGTTTTATTTATTTACAATACAAAATATAATTTTCTACAGGAACCAACATTTGCAAGATTAAAAAATAAGTAGGTACCTACCACCATTCTATTTAAGTTCGCAAATATCAATCATAAATACAAGTGAAATTATTACTAACCAATTTCGAATATTATGTTATCATTAAGATTAAAGAAAATGTAAAATATGTACAAAAATATAAATAAACTTTTTCATTAAACCTCCTCCAACAGAGCATAAGAATCTTCTTCCTTTGCAATAATGGTTTCAATATTATAAAATGCAGCATGTAGAGTTATAATCACACATGATGCTCCTATTACCCAAAACATCGCTCCGTGTGCACCTACTAAGTAATAAACAGGCAATGAACAAGCCGTTACAAGTCCATATTGTTGTGCTATAGTTAATTCTCTACCAAAAATTATTAGTTTCTTTTCTTGGTTACGTTTATTAAGTCGGTAACCTGCGTAAAACGTTCCAGCTAATGCTATTAAAATAAGTGGTGAAGTTATCCTAAAATAATAACATCTAAAATGTAATTAAATCACAAATGAATCGTACTTACAAGCAATAAACAATGAGCCCTAGGAACACAAATAAATAATTCGCTTGAAAATATTCGATATTTCTCATAATCCTCTTTCCAACTCTGGGTATTGATGGTGGCACTTTAAAATTGGAAGTTTGAACAAAAAGCAACCAACTCCTAACATTTTGCCTCTGATGACTAATCCACTCCTTGGGATCAGGCAATTCGGAAGGAATTTTCAAAAAACTAAAACATCCACATAAATATCCTTTGAGTTATTAATTATTTTAAGGTTACCTTGGAAGAACTCCTTTTTGTTGAACTATCAAAGGGGGGTCCATCTCCCCTGATACGTCCACTGCTACGTCCGTCATCTCGAAGTTTTATACTAAAATTATTCAAATCTAGCCATAAGTATACCTAAAATCCTAAAATTGTAGGTAAGTAGTGACGTGTTTATGTATTATAATTCGCCCATAAAAACTAAAAACGTATACATTTATAATATAATGTCAAAAACAGCTGTGGTATGTGGCAAATGTCAAGATAACAAATTTCGTTCTTTTAACGAATTCTAGAACCGTTTTATGCTGCGTTTTTTGCTTTTTTTACGCGATACCGCCATTTTTGCTCCGTTTGCTCAATGAACTGGAGTGGGGTAGAAAGCCAATGTGCATATTGTATCAGTAGAACAAGGTGCGACTCTATGGGCGCAGCCATTTTTATTTCTCATCTCACTCGGGAGTATTTATAATAACCATTTTCTGTTTCACATTGTTATTGTTCAATCCACAAGCTGGTGGATCAGACAATAACAAAGTGGAATAGAAAATGGTTCTTATAAATACTCCCGAGTGAGATGAAAAATAACCTGTCTTCGCCCATAAAGTCGCATCTCAAGCCTATTGACAAGCATTCTACCCCACTCCAGTTCATTGCGTTTGCTCCATGTTTGTTCGATGCAATGAAGTGGAGAGGGGTAGAATGATAACTGTCAATGAAAAAGTCTGGACACTATGCACAATTTCGTTTTGCACATTTTTGCTGCGTTTGAGAATCCACATCGGATGCATCTGAGATGTAAAAAATCTTTGATCACGTGGTTCAGTATACGTAAATGTAATGGGACAGATGTGTCCGATGTGGATAAAAAAACGCTCGAGATGTAAAAAATGCATCCGATGTGGATTCTCAAACGCAGCATATGTACACAAAATTCAGGGACGGTTTAACAACATTTTGTGCAACAATTATAAAATAGTGCATCGAAAAATAATTAACAAGTATAATTTAATACTAAATCGGAATAAAAGCATAAAAAATCATAAATATAAGCAAGATAACAAAGAATTGACGCCAAAAAAGCTTACAACAGCCAAAACACAAACAAAAAACAGAGCTGAACATGAACATAATCGCTGAATAAAGTCGATCCTGGAATTTGTTTACAGTGCTTTAGGGCAACCTCTCTTTGTCATTTACGTGTGTAAGAGTGGAAGGCTGAATCACGCATAATTTCTACACTCGTGATGGATGCGCAGACGGTACCTTATCGTTCTACCCTCTCTACTTCTTTGGTTCGATGTCACGTTACCAAAAAATCTACTCTGTGATCTACTCGTTCTGCTCGATGAGTTACATGAATATACACATAAATTGAGTAAATAGCTATTGAAATTTTGTAAAATTATGATTTGAATATTATAATATCTATGATTATAATACATTTAAATTTAGGTTGGTTAGTTGCTTGTGTAACTTGTTGTTTCGGAACACGTTCGGAATTAGGAACAGAACCATAATAAGGTAGATGTCGCTTTTGGCATCAGTTGTCGTTTGGAACCAATCGGACACCAGATGCCATCTTTGTTTTGGTTTGTTGTGTTTTGATTGGTGGAATTGAATGCAGATGCATAAACCGTAAAATTAACCGTTTTTTTTTTCAGAGAACGAGTGTTAGCGTGTATTGTTTGTCGACAAAATTTTATGTTTTTAGATTTTACCGTGAAAGTGAAAAAATAGGCGAAGGAAGAACTGGTAATTTTTAACGTCATAATGTCCTTTGCTCGAAGTCTACATGAAGAGTTGAATGAACCGGACGATTTCGATACATCGTCAGGTTGCGGCGATATGTCTTTCGAATTTTTCTCCGATATGGACAACGGAGGTGACAGTATAGTATGTTACAGTCCAAAAAATGAACATGCACTGAGAAAATTGGAATTTGCCGGATGTGATAATAATGTGGTAACACCAGGACCAAAGAATGGCTCATTTAGTCCCCCTTACAAACGGGTTCGAGCCCTTAGATTATTTGATAGTCCTCTAACGCCAAAGACTATTATTCAGAATTGCTCTTCTGGAACTCCTATACCTAGGAGCAGACTGTTTGGTAGTAAACCCAGGGCTGTGCCAAGTGCTTATGCCAAAAGAGAAGAAAGACCTTCTGCTAACGTGAATCCCTTTACGCCAAACGGTAATATTCCATCGACAAGTCTTTCTTTATATTTAATCTTTTGATAGTAATTGAGTATTCTTTTAATTTTAGGTATGTTATTATCAAAAAAGCGCACTAGGTCAATCCGATCTCTGTTAGGATCTCCAGATATGAAACCAGTAAAGTTAGATTTAAATGAAAGTGATGCTTCAGATGCAGAAATAGAGCAGCCAACAAAAAGGGTGGCTTTACAAGAAAATAACATTTCTAGATATCATAAAGAATTTTTAGAATTAGAACTTATAGGAAAAGGCCAGTTTGGGTCTGTTTTTAAATGTGTTAACCGATTAGATGGCTGTGTTTATGCAGTAAAGAAATCAACCAAACCTGTTGCTGGAAGTTCTTATGAAAAAACTGCTTTGAATGAGGTTTATGCACATGCAGTTTTAGGTAGGTACCTAAAACAATATTTTTATGTATATTAGTGAATATTCTAATTATTTTTTGGAATATTTTTAAAAGTAGGTAGGCATTAGATTTTAAAGTGTCTTTAGAAATTATAAGACTCATAGTTTGTAAATGGTATATCTGACCAACAAAATATGATGGGTGGTGGGATACTGTTAGTACTAAAATAATTGATTTGATATTAATACACATGTCCGACCCCCATAAGGGTGGTTGAGATGATATGATGAAAGAGGGGTATTTCAGAAGATTTGGTCAATAATAAAATATGACATTTCAATAAAGATATACTACTTACAAATCCATATAACAATCCCTTTTACCACTGGATCTAGTAGGGACTTTAAGTAAGAAGGCAGAGTGGAGACTACCAACCTGTTTCTTATTTTCTTAATTTATATCTACACTGTAATTAAAAAACTTAATCATTTCAGTAACATGTGAAAATATTTATAGATAATCAAGCCTATGGTTGAACACCATGGTTATTATAACCGTCATGGTTATTCATAACTGGTGATTGACGTCTTACCAGTTACTTTTTGTATGGATAACTGTGCAGCAGTGTGAGCTTTGATTGGTCAGGGATGAGGCTCGATCTGTTTAATTTTTGTAGGTATCAGGAGGATGAGATGAGATTTGACATTTATAAAGTTTGATCTGACTTTTCAACTTGTTTTATTTTTTCTTGGCTTGAAAGTATTTATTGTTTTTCTAATATTAATTTTTTTATTTGTAGTAATTCAAATAGTTTTTTGTTTTTAATTTAAATTGTAGTTCGTTCTTGTTTTTAATTGAAATTGTAGTTGTTTCTTGTTTTTAATTAAAATTGTTGTTTCTTTTTTTAAATTTAAAATGTACTTGTTTTGGAATTTTAAAACAGGTGGAGTAATAAACCTAGCAATTCTTTAAGAATTCGAACAAGAATTGTGTTTATATATGTAGCAAAATTTGTCCATAAATTAGTGATCATTTTTAAAATCACTGGGTTTATTTTCCCACCAACAAAATTTAATTTTTTTAACAAAATTCAGCAACTGACTAGTTTTGTTCAACTTTTTCGCCATTTTAAAATAAAATGTGATATTTGAGTTTGAGAGAAATGAAGCTTTTCTGAGAAATATAATTCTACTTCTCTTAGTTATTGGCCTCTTTTTAAAAAATATAGTTCTAATTCTTCTTTTTAACTCTTTAAAAATTGAAATAGTAGTTTTCGATAGAAGTGAACATTATCTAAACTCTTTGTATAGAAAAAGAAGGAAATTAAACATAAACTTCTACCACATCCAATTGAGGTAGACTTCTTTTTTTTTACTTTAAAAATATTTTATTTAGGTTAATTTTTTGAAATGTCTGCCATTATTTGAGTCATCACTTGCAATATTGGTTACATATAAAAATGGCTACATCCAATGTAAAGTCTGTTTAAAAAGAGGTCCCATCCAAATTATTGAATTAACCAACAATTAAATGTTCTCTGAATTTGGCCGCAAAAGATATTTGTGATGTTCCAAAAGAAATACTACAACCCAATATCAAAATACCAGGACCCAATTCATTTAACTTTCTTAAAGTTAATTTAAAATTTTTATTATCTTTTTTTTTGCAAAATATTGTTTGTTCTCAATTTTTCCAGATGTTATGTAACTTTATTTTATAATTCAAAATATATCTTAGAACCACATTTCTGTATTTTGTTTATAAAACTTGAAAAAATAGCAAAAAATTCCATTTTTATATTTGTATTTGTCTTGATCCAAACTTCAAAGCTCTATACCATCTTGATTATTGGAACAGGATTTTTTTTTTAAATTATTTCTAAAATTGTGTCTAATACAATATTCAGAAACGAATATTTACTTCAAAGTTAGGCATATTGATATTTAAGCTAATATCTCAATATTTGCTAAAATGGATATAGCTGGTTTTGCAATTAGCATTTAAAGGATTTAATGGCATAAATCATAAAATTTATTATTTTAATTTAGCAGATCTAAACTATTTGAATGTGGATTATGTATTTGTTTTATTGCAATAAAGTATTATTTCCAAATCTGTTTGGTTTTTAACTTATTAACAATGTTAATATTGTACAGAGTAACAAGTTAAAAACTTATATGCACCTAGAGATTTTTGAACAAAGCCAGCATAGCATCCTGTTTTTTTTTTGTTTTAATCACCATATGGCATTTTTAAGCTATTTTTAGGCTCTTGAAATATAAAACATTCTGGAAAAAATTGCTAAACTTTCTAAAAGTCAATAGTTAAGTGATTGTGAAAAAATATTACATTATTCATATATCTTCTTGATTTGATCTCATATAAGGATTATTGTACTTCATAAAAAGAAAATAGAAAAAACAATATTTTTATTTGTTTTCATCTCTTGTTTGCTTTCAGAACATTTACATTGCTACTGTCTGCACACCATATCTTAAAGTAGACCCAATTAGCCAGTGATATAGCATTATTAGGTTTTCTTTTGACAGTATAGCCCTAGTTTCAACTTGTAGAGAGGTGATTGAATTTTGTGGTTGAATATGTCTGTTAAATTAAGGGTTGTTCCTTTTTTTAAACATTTTGGGTGCTTTTGTAGGTCCGTTCCAATGTCAGAAACCAGTCACTGACAGCACAATTCTGCTCAGTAGATTATTGGGACCGCTAAATCATCTACTGTGCAGAATCCTGGAGTCAGTGACTGGTTTCTGATCATTGTTGGAACATCAAAAAAAAGTGAACACTCCAATTTAAATGGATGAGGTCATGGTGATATTTTTGGGGAATGGATGTAGGCATGTTGGTAATATTTTATATAGCCATTGAAAGTTTTTAAATTGTCACCCCGTATATAGATCTCATTCCACAATAGGAAGAATCTATTTATAATTGCTACACTTTGTTTAACAATGGCCACTTAAATATTTCTTTACACATTACTTTTTATTTAATTGTGCTTTAAAATCAAGAGACTTTTAAACATTTTTGCTGGATTATTGAGAGCAATTTAATTTTAATTGTCTTTAAAACAGGTAAACACCAGCATGTAGTCAGATACTACTCAGCGTGGGCAGAAGACAATCACATGATCATTCAAAACGAGTATTGCAATGGCGGTTCTTTGGCAGACAAAATCTCAGAGGAGCCCCTCAGCGCCCAGGAGTTACGGACCCTTCTGATTCACGTGACTGAGGGACTCAGATACATTCATTCAGAGGGTCTCGTGCACTTGGACATCAAACCGGGCAACATCTTCATTTCTAGAGAGAGAAAAATGCACATAACAAATTATGATTCAGCGGACGACGGTTTTGAGGATCTAGATGACAATTCGATGATGGAAGAGGAACTGACTTACAAAATCGGTGATTTAGGACATGTTACCAGCCTACAGAACCCACAGGTCGAGGAAGGGGACTGCAGGTATTTGCCAAACGAGATATTGCATGAAGATTACACTCATCTCACGAAGGCGGACGTTTTTGCATTGGGACTGACTGTTTTGGAAGCGGCGGGTTCCGGTGCTTTGCCCAAAAACGGCGAGGAGTGGCACACTTTGAGGCGCGGCGAAATACCGCCCTTACCGCAGAAGTTGAGCCGAGATTTGGTAGACCTTATAAAGAATATGATACATTCTGATCCCACTCACAGGTAATAATAATTAAATAATTTATTGTTTAAGAGCTATTGTACTGCTTAGAAATGCAATTGAAATGTGTGAATTTCAAGTATTTGAATTTTATTCTAGATGGCACAATAATGACTCTCACTTGTGAATTTATTTTTATATAAATATAAACAGTTCAATCATAAAAAAATGTGAAAATTCAATAAAATTGTTAAAAATAAGCTAATTTTACCAGACAAATTAATATATTAAAATTACATTATTTTTCAAATTCGACGATCCATTCTTTGAAGAGAATAAAAAAAAAATTAAAAATTGGATTTGAAATAAAGATGTCGTAATCATTAAACTACGAAAAACTACAAAACTGAATATTAGACTGTCATCTCTTAATTTCAACAACGCTATGCCCTGTGTGACTCTGCGAGGCTAGTTTGGCATTTTAAATTTTAATGAGTTTCTGACTCATAAAATCTTTCTTTAGATTCTTAACTTTCATTTAATTTCTAACGTGAGATGATAATCAATTCTGACAGGACAAGATCCTTTAAACCAGTTAAATGAACTTTTGTGTAAATCTTTTGGTCTTGAAAGAACAGTTAAAGTAAACAAAACTGAGTTACAAAGGAATAGAAGGTCTCTTTACATGATTAAACAGCAACTGTCAGTAAATAATGTTTTTATTTCATATTATAACAAGTGTAGATCAACTTTCAGATTAATTAAAGCAGTGAAACAATAATTTTATTATGAAAATCGAATTGCAAATTCAAAAAAATAATAAAAAAACACAAAGAAACATTCTAGTTAGTTTCGCGAGTCTTTCGAGGCGGGCAAGCAGCCAAAGTGGAAACACAGACGTAACGGCAACAGTGAATGTCAAAGTCAAAAAATATTGAGTTTATTACTGATAGTATTGACAATGATTTTTTTGTAGTAAAATTTGAAGATTTTTTTTATTAAATATATTAGAGCTTAAAGACATGATTTACCTAATAAAAATAGTCCTGATAAAGTTAATATGGTACTATGTTTGGAAAATTTGCAAACTCCACTATAAAATAATGATTAATTCATAATTCATCACTTCTAACAGATAAAGTGCACATTGATACTAAAATAACAACAAAAGTAGCTAAGTCTACAAAAGTTTCTGATCTATGCCCACTTAATATGATTTGGGCTGTGGAAAAATACTGTACATGATCAGTTGGTTGATTTTCTTGAATCTTATCAGAAAATAACGATTTTCCAATGAAGTTATAGGAGCAAACAACTATGAAGAAACTATACAATGTGTGATTGCTTAGTGAAAATTAAACGTAGGTATTGATGGTGTGACATTGCAGTGATTTGCAGATTACCTAGATAAAAGATAACAAAAATTGAAAGCAAGTATCACAATATCTGAACAAAAAATATTTAATAACAAAGGTGTATCACAGGGAACTCGGTCCGCTGCTGTTCCTAGTTTATATTAATGATATTGAGCACGTTGTAAATTGTAAAATTCATCTCTTTGCCTCATAACACTCTAATTTATTATGATAGCTTAAAAGTCAATGACTGTTTTGCAACTATTAATAATAATAATAATTATTATTATTTGGAATGTATATAAAAGCTAAAGCTATGTAATTTTTTTAAAAATGAAACAAAAAAATTAAGTGGATGCTTATTGGATCTGGTACCAATGTAGGAATAAATGAAGTATAGTACTAACAGAGGTTACAAAATACAAATATTTGGGAGTAATTGTAGATAGGAAATTGGGGTTCAAAGAACATTTTAATTATTTAGTAAAGATTATTGCTTACAAAATTAATCATCTTAGTCCCTATTTATAATATTTATATTCTTCCCCACTTTAATTATTTCTTAACAGCGTTATACTTGTTTAATCAAAATGAAATGAATAGACTGCAAAAATTGCAAAATAGGAGTATGCATAATACTGAAATGTTTTCAGCTTACACCAATAAGATACATGTAGAGTGCATTAGATTGGCTTTCGGTTAATAGGTATGTGGCATTCTTAACTAAGCTTTTCATACATAAAATAAAGTAGCCCAAATATATTCAGGATAAGTTGGGCTACAATACTAATATTCATTTTTAACATAATACTATAGTTAGGCTAGATTTTCATGTTCAGTTTAATAATTTTTCAGAACATCAACCCAAAATAATGTGTTTTTTAAAGAATTCTATGAGTACAATGATTTACCCAGTGAATGATTTATCCAGTATAAATTATCAAATTAATAATTGTGTAATTTTCCATATTTATTTTAACTTAGCACTTTGTACCTAATTAATTAGTTTGTGACTAAATAAATTATTTATATATTGTTTTACTATTCCAGACCTTCCCCTATACAGATAATGCAAAACAGAGCATTGTCGCCAGAGAGTTACAAATCAAAGGCAGAGCTGACCAGAGAGTTAAATGCTGAAAAGTTGAGGAACGAAATGCTGATGAAGCAACTTAAAGAGGCCACCATATGCATAAAGACGTTTGAAACTGTAAAGATGCCGACGTCGACAAAGGCCAACAGATTGATAGGGAAGAAAGTGAATAGAAGCGTTAGTACTACAACATTCTGAGTTTTTAATTTTATATTTTTTAGGACTAAAAGAGGTGATTATTTGAATTTTATACTTTTATCTCGAGAAACAAATGTCTAAAAGTCTTGTTTTTGCATTTTAATGGGAATTGGATCTGTTGCAAAATTTTGGGTCAAAATTTAAAGAATTAACCTGCACATGTTAAATTTTTATAATGCCTTCTACTGTAACTAGCAATCTAATAATTTAATAGGTTCTATCTAGAGAATTATGTGCAGTTAGCAAAAAATATTTTTTACCATTTTAAATTTAGTATAAAAGACGAGATAGAATGATCAAATTAGTGATTTGTAAAAACGGATTTATTTAAGACATTTGCCTGCTTTTCACGAGTTTTATTATTTCCTGTATTCTATGTATTTTTATGAAGTATGGAGTTATTCTTAGAGGTTTCTGTTTTAAAAGGGTTTGATATTTTCAGTAATAAGTCTTAATCTGATTTTTTTTTGTTATTCTCTATTTTTTTTTTTAATTTGTTGTCTTAAGGTAATTATTAGTTTTTTTTTAGTTTAGCTGTAAAATGATGGTTTTTATTACTGTTTCCTCTTATTATGTCCATGCTGAGAATATCAATTCTGAGTACTGAGAGTTTTCCTTTTAAATCGGACAAAAGTGCATTCGTAAATATTGAGAGAATTTCTTTTTTTATTTAAACCGCAATTTTAACAAATTTAATAGATTTTAAGATGATGCTAATTATTTTTATTATTTAGCTTTAATAATTTTAAATCTTAAAAAAATAAAAGATACATTTTTTAGGTAAAATAAAAATGAATGAAACATTTAGGTATATGGCCAGCTTCTTTGTGTTGAACCACTGTTCAATTTCCAATGAGGTATTATACCAATCAATGTCAATCTCAAATGATCTTCAAAAACGCCAGTTTTTTAATTTAAAATAGTTTTATTTATCTTTAAACAATATACAAACATCTTTAAATAAAATGCAATTTTTGAAAATGTGAAAATATTCCCTTAAGAAATTGAGCTCCACGTTGCCAAATTGAAAACAAATCAAAGGAAAATTGAATAGGCTGAGAAATGAAGAAAAGAAAAAATGAGTGCCTTGGCCAGGGATCGAACCTGGAACCTCCGACTCGAGCCGTCGATGCCTCTAATAAGTCATCACATTCTGACTCGCCGGCACACATATTCGCCTCCCCACCCCCAGCTCTTTCATTTCTACTTAAAGTCACCCTTGCAACATCGTATAGAAGATGAATCGAGAGATCTGGGACATGGGAAGGAGAATATGTATGTGCCGGCGAGAATCTGAATCTGACGACTTCAATTCGACTGTCATAGCAATGTGTTTCGGTGATCCAATTGGTAGATCTGTCAACAGCTCTAGTCGGGAGGTTTCAGGTTCGATCTTTGGCTGATGCACTAATTTTTTTACTTAGGGGATGTGGGGGTACACTTCCTAACTTCGTGGAGGGAATTGTGGAGTATATTTTCAATTTCTCATTTACAAAAATTCTATTTTCAGTTTTTGGATCTAAACCGATTTTCTCACCTTTGTCATCTAAAATAAACAAACTCGAAGCCTAGCACTTTTAGTTGACTGAGCTGTGTTAAATTAGAACAATAAAACAAATCAGAATACAGACTGAGCGAATCAGAAATCATAACCTAATAGTGACGCAAACAAATTTAGTGGATGATACTATAAAATAAATTAATTGAAAAAGTATAATCGACAAAAAACTATTATTTACTTATGCACTTTTTCTTTTTTCAAAATAATCTTGACAATTAATACACATAATGGTATTATATATTTTAAGCTTTAATTTTTTTTAAGCAATAATTCGTATATTAATAAAATAATTTTGTCCAATGGTTTGCAAGTGAACAGTAATTCGAAATATACTTAATTCGATTTATTTAAAATTACGAGGTGATGTCAAAGAAAATTTAAGTAATCAGTTGAGAAAATTGAAATTATCTGCTCATTTTATTATTGTTCACTTGTAACGAAAAATATTAAGAGTTAACTTTATTTAAGAAGTATTATAAATTTTTATCTCAAATAGTATTTATGTGATAAAGAGTAATTTTAAAATAGTTAAGGCACAATATAAGTTGAATACTCTGTACTTCTAACAGCTAAAAAATGTAAATTAGTTTTTTTTTTTTTTTTTTTAGTTAAAAAAGTGCTAAGTAGTTTTTATGGTCCTACCGTGTTTATTAGTGAAAAAGAACTCGACTGGTGGCTGTTGGAAATAAGTGATGACTTGTACATTTTGTTGAAAATTTACGTTGCTCATTATTTTGTATAATAAAAGTTGTCTCCTGACTCGAGTGGTCTGAGAATAAATGAATTATGTAATTTATTACTGTTGAATCGGTATTATGGTTCGTTCTTCTCATGGAACTTATTTTTTTATCATACAGGTAAGATCAAATAGATTGATTTTTTTTTTTTTTATAAATACAAAAATGATAACTCGTTTTAAAGTTTGAACATTTGTCTATTTTTCTACATGTCGTCACTTCGATCAATGCATTTTTGTAGACGCTATGACAGTTTTTGTATGCCCAGCTCCCTACCATGTCCTTAAAAAGAGTTGAACCTCGTCTTCCGGTCCAGTGGTCTTTCAACTTAGGGAACAGGTGGTAGTCATTGGGTCCTGAATATATTGTGGGTGTGTGATGATGTTCCCATTTAAACTATTTGCAGGAGAGCGACGGTTTGATGGGCGTGCGTTCAGCTCCGACGACGAGGTGAAAGTTGAGGATCAATGCTTTCTCAAGTACATGGCAGGGAGCTGATATGACATGGGCACACAAAAACTATTACAGCATTACAAAATTGCATCGACCGAATTAATTTTTGTATCTCTAAAAAATATATAAGACCTTACTATTGGGATTATCCTCGTTTAAAATTTCTTTTAGCATTTCAACATTGCAATTTATTAACTAATGACAAACCTTAAAAGTTACGACACGAAAAAAAAATGGTATTTTAGGGACTAATTTAATGATACTATAAATTTAAAATACAAAGATAGGATCTAGATTATTTTCAAAAATATTAACAAAAATTGGTCTTTTTGTGATATTAGATTTGGACTAAAAAGGCATTTTCACACTGAAGCGGTAGTCGACTCGATTGCCGTGTCGTTTCGAGACTCAATAACTCAATTTGTTTTGTCGAAAGAACCGTTGTTGTCGACAGTGATAAATTATATCAAGACTCATAATCCACAATTTTTGTACGACCTGTATTTTAAACATTTAAATGACAAAAAAAAATTTAATCCTGGCATACTGTTAAATATATTTTACATATTTTTATGGGGGGCAAAATATTTTTTTAGTTAACTTATTTTTCATTTGTATATTAAAATTTTAATTTTTTTTTTCATTATTTTTGTTGTTTAAATATTTAGACGTACTGTACAAAAAATGATATATTTAGATATTTATTTTGATTGTCTCGAAAAGAAAAATATTTTTTAACGCATGTCTTTATTGACTTTTACTAATACAAACTTTTTATATTTTAAACACATATTGTTTTTTTTTTTTTTTGAGACAATCTATAACATTGTTTTAAATTTTTTGTGATAATATCTAACTTGTAAGATTTTTCTTTCCTATTTTAATTTATATAATTTCTGACAAATCGTTTTTCTTTTATTTTTATGTTTCCACATTATTTGATATTTGCTAAGCACATTTACATTCCTTTTTAATAAGTGCCTTAATTGCAACATTGTATCGTTTTTAATTTTAATAATTATATTTTGTAAAAACCAAATATATTTTAAAATAAATTTTAAACCTTTACTTCTGTACATTTATTTGAAATGCTTAAATCTCAAACCCAAGCTATGTTGTGGATGAGATGGCTACTGCATTGGGTCATACCGTAATACGTTTACCACTGCATTATTGTGCATTGAATACCATAGAATTAATTTGGAGAAACATCAGAAGGGAGATTAGACAAAAAAGTGTTACTCCTGTGTGTTTTAGAGAGAGAAGTTGTTGGATGTGTATATCAATAATTATGGTTCAATTTTTTTCTCCATGTTAAAAAAATTGAAAACCCAAATAATATGTGACAATTATTCCCATGTAGAACAGAAGTAAAAGTTGGAAATGCTTTTGCCAGTTCTCCCACTTTATACACATAACTTGACAGGTTGTCAGCGGATCTAACCGAAGTGGACACGATACATTGGCGTACAAAATTATTTTATAGATGTTAATAACAATTTCGAGTAAATAGTTTAATAAATTGTGAATAGCTGTTGAAATTTTGTAAAATTATAATTTGAATATTAAAATACATGTTTTGTAACTTGACAGACCGGACCCTGACCTAGTTTTGCAAATACTTATAACCTTGGCCTAAATTTCGTCTAGTAGATCCCCACGAAGTGATGTTAAAACCCCCAGAATTTCGTTTAGAGTTCAATGTAGCTGTAATGGAGGAAGAACAAAGGAAACACCGAGATTAATTTTGAATACTGTTTATTTAACATCTATTCTTTTGTACAGCCGAACATTTAAATTATGTGCCATTTTTAGGCTTAACATTATGTTTATGTAGGCTTTCTAATGTGTCATTTCTAACCTCAGAGCTTTTAGTTCCCATAAAAGGGTAAAATAAAAGTCGGAAGTAATTTGGTATGTTTGTTTGTCTCCTAATATACAATCACACGTTTCCACGGAACTACTGAATTACGCATTGTCTAATAAAAGAGAGTCCAACGGTAGCACGAGGAGTGTTGTGAGATATAAAATATTGCGTCGAATTGAGAACCTCTTCCTTTTTGAAGTCGGGTAAATTTATTATTTCTAATATGTGTAAAAACCGGAGTGTAGATTTACCTCACCGTGCATCACGCCTTTCTCTAATATTCCAACGCCGTAATTTACTGACATACTCAGTCCTGTATGAACAACACTAAACGGTCGATCGGAGAACACCTGATATAAAGGGGGATGCCCGTCAGGCCCGCTTTTGGGGTATCTCAGTAGAGATCCATCCAAGCCTCTATCAGGCTTTAATTTACATAGCCGCAAGGGAAATACCATTTTTAGGCCCTTACTATTGAGGTCCCTGGCGGTCTATGGTGGCCTAAGGCGTCTTTTTCGGCACGATGCTCTTTTGCTCTGTCGATTGACAAATCAGTGTTATTAATCACAGTTCTGAGAATACGTTAGCTAGTCCACAAACACAATTTCACTTATTTATTCTAAATAAATAACAAACATACCGACTACTTCCGCGAAATGTCCCGCTAAAGATAGGTGGATATGTACAAATAAATACGACCCTCCTCAATATTCATGATTCTACCCGCCGCTGTACATATCTCCTTTTTCCCAAAAATTCGTTACACAAAACTAAAATTCCGTACGGCTAAAATGACACATTTGTCTACCCAATTTTGTTTTACAAAGAAAGACAGAAAACATATTTTTTAAACCGCAAACTTACTTTAAAATATATACAAATCCAGGCATTTACCCTACTAATCTACATCTGTTCGCCATTTAAAAGTAAAACCGAAAGTGTTTTTATCTTTACAGACACCCGAAACTTTACAATTCAGCCCTTTGGCCATAAATCTAAATGACTTAATTTATTGCTTGAGAGCATTGACCGACTTTAGAACTATTAATATTTATGACAACAACATCACTATCGATTCTCTAAATAACGTAATTTAGCACAATATAAAATCGTATAATTTTTCCCACAATAAACGTTTACCAATGAATACCAAAAATATGACAATAACACACAGACGCGAATGTTCCCGCTAATGAATATAAGAGTAAATAAAGTGATACCTGTAACCTATAAATGTTTGTCTAAATTCTCCCCCGGAATATCTGGATTTTAATTACTAGTTTGATTACTTTAATAGTGCGATTATCGTTTTAATCATACGTAAAAGAAACCTTACAGAAATAAAAGTATACCGCTGACAAAAGGTCTACCGGGCGTAAGTTCATCGGGTCAGCCAGAAGGGTGACGAAATCCACTACGAACGTCGCCTGGAGTAGTACCTTTAATCATTTAGTAACATTTTATAATGTTGAATCGGAGATATAAAATATCCGGCGTTTAACTAGACTAGCGTGGTATCACCAGTATTAGTTACGCCAATATTTTAGTCGCTCGGTAGATACAACTTTACAAAACAGTTCTAGGAGCGAAATCCGGTTCTATTCAACGTGTATCTGCTTGGTCAACCTGACTAATATCTCCTTTTATTTATATATAAAATATAAGAAAAAGGTGGTCGTCCTAAGGACAACTGGATACCTATGCAGAAGCCGTCGTTTATAGAAACTAATTTCTCTACTCCGTCGATATCTTTTATTTCCGTTCTCAAAATATAACAAGAACACGGCCACCGTAAGGGTAGCATATCTCTTTTTAATTATATTTGAAGAATATAAAGAAAAAGGAGTCACCGTCGTGGGACATGGATATTTGCGTATTCTTGTTAACTTGACTCGGTGAAGAAGAAAAAGTTAAATCCTCTTGCCCACAAAAAACCCGGGTATTTATACTTAAATTTCCCATATACGCCAATGTATCGGAAAGAGAACGAATATGCGTTCGAGCATAAAGACTATAAAGCCCTGTATTAATTTCTGAATGTAACCCTTAAAAAACACATGTGTTTTTTTTAGCTAGTGGCCGTGATGCACGACACAAAGGCTGTTTTTCCCAGAAGTAATAAAACGGCGCCTAAGAGACGGGACTCGCTGGGATGATGTTTGAATTCGAAATAAAATTTGAATATAATATGTAATATATAAGAATTATTTAAATTAATTATCAACCCCCGGTTGTCGGATTTCACTCTCCCCCGTCTTTTTGGAGAAATGCATATGAGAACCAAAAAGAAACACACAAACAGACAGACCTGCTCCCGTTGCCACCTTTGATTTTAACAAATTAAATTTAAAACAAAACTATTTACTCGCCCTTACAGAGGAAACAAAAAAAGTTTAAACTAGGTCAAACCCCTAAGTAAATACCCCCACTGTCAAAACGCGCTATTTGAGGAAATTTAAGTAAACTTGAACCTGACTTGACTAAAATTAAAAGCAAAAAATTTAAAACAAAATCAGTCAACCGATCACCAAATAATAATAATGTACCACTAATACTAATAATAATCTTTATAATAATACTATTTCGTAAGAAAAAAGAAATACCAGTAGGAGATAAAATCCCCCTTCTTTTCTTAAACAGATGTAGTTTACAAAAATATATTTACAAAATTTCGCATTTTTTTTTCGTTCAAACTTAACGGTAAAACGAAACAAATTTATCAAAAACAACAAAAGGAATCAAAAGGTCCTTAAAATTAATTAGTAATGTTCTAACGAATTTTCTATACTAAAACCCGAAAATACCACTCACGACTTCGAATTTCATTTTCGCGCACCCACACTCGATCTTTTCCGAAGGTCTCCCCGGATTGTAGGAAAGCACCAGGGTTTGGTACCGTTCTAGCGCGTCTGCTGGCTTCCATCCCTAGAGAGTAGGGACATCCCAAAAAGGAGTATTGACCTGCGGGGCGCCCTTCGTCTTAACCGCTGCAGAGGTGCTGGGCGGTTTTAACTCGAGACGGTCCGTTGATGGAGCCTTAGAGCCTCCGAAATTGAGCCCAACCAGTCGATTGGAGTAACGACAAGCAACTCACCGGATGAATCAGAGGAATCTGCAAAACATCAATGCGCAGCCAACTCAATAGCACTTTGACGGAAAACGGAAACAGTTCGCAGTGTGTTACTGTTCAAAAATGACAACCAGATATAAAATTTTCTCTACCTCCAATATCAACTACATTGATTTACGACTCTATATCCTGGTCACGGCACCAGTGTAACTTGACAGACCGGACCCTGACCTAGTTTTGCAAATACTTATAACCTTGGCCTAAATTTCGTCTAGTAGATCCCCACGAAGTGATGTTAAAACCCCCAGAATTTCGTTTAGAGTTCAATGTAGCTGTAATGGAGGAAGAACAAAGGAAACACCGAGATTAATTTTGAATACTGTTTATTTAACATCTATTCTTTTGTACAGCCGAACATTTAAATTATGTGCCATTTTTAGGCTTAACATTATGTTTATGTAGGCTTTCTAATGTGTCATTTCTAACCTCAGAGCTTTTAGTTCCCATAAAAGGATAAAATAAAAGTCGGAAGTAATTTGGTATGTTTGTTTGTCTCCTAATATACAATCACACGTTTCCACGGAACTACTGAATTACGCATTGTCTAATAAAAGAGAGTCCAACGGTAGCACGAGGAGTGTTGT